CAGCCAGAGGGTGGTTTGGAGGCAAAAATGATGAAGTTTCGTCTTATATTATGTTGGGTATGTTGCTGAGAGGCTGCTCCATGGAGGGGAACATCATGTTTGCAAAGATGGGGGGGGTCAGCAAAGGAGAGGAAGACCCTCAATGAGGCAGATTGTCATAGTGACTACAGCAGTGGGCTCTAGAGTGTCAGGAGGTGTGAGGAGGGCCCAGGATAAGACGAAGACCCGCTGTGGGTAGGGTCTTGTCGACTCAACAGCACCTAACAACCACAGCTCTATCACTTGGTGGAAGTTACAACATCTTTGGCAGCAGGAGGTGCACAGTAATCTGCTTCACCATATTCCTCACTGAGTAATACACGTTCCGCTTCCTAGCGTTCGGTCCACCTTGGATGTTGTGTCTGCAGGAAACTGGTAAGCCAATGGGGTGATGACTCAGTACGGATCTAACAGCACTCTGAATTAGGACAGTGAACACAGGCATGTTGCTGTCATTCTGAGCCATCGAGTTACCCCTAACACTGACTCCTAGGGACCAAGTGACCACCAGATCTCTCCTCCCCTCCTGCTGCAACCTCACCGTCTCCATCATGCTGGGTCCCACTGGGGCAGTCACTTTGTCAATCTATCTTGTTGAGGGTCTTGGTCTGACCCTACACCTTTGCTGACCTCCCATCTTTTACAATGGACTCACCCCTCCTGACAACATACCCAAGGAGTGTGAGATGAAGGGAGGCCAGAAATTACAACAAGTTAGGTATCAAATCAGGGCTATTGCCAGCATGGCAGTATTAATTATGAAGGGACTAATATTGTTTCTATGCTAACTCCTCTTATTGTTTGGAATGTTTATACTGTTTCTGTCGATATCCAAGTGACAATAAGCCTAGTACTTTTTTTTTAAAGCCTAGTACTTTTTAAACACTGTGAGCTGGTTGTCACCGGAGAGCTACCTTATATCCATAACAATTTTTCATAAATACCTCCATACCAGTGCAAATGGAATAGAGGGCTAATTGTTCTCTTCTTTCGTAGAATCCGGGGACGTTGATGATCATCTCCTTGCATGGTTGCAACATGTAAGAAGAGGCGAGGGAACTAGACAGTCCTATCAACACACTGCATCAGAAAACACCACTCATCGGCATACAGTTCATCTTCCTTTAAGGGAAAGTCACTGTATGTTTGACATCCGTCAAAGAGGTGTGAACTCAAATTTAAGCTTACCCTCCGTCACGCAGATCAGAAGTGAAGACGTAAAGAATTCCACTGAGCGTCTCAAAGATGAGACAGCCTTGGTTCCTGTGGGCTGTGAGCAAGTTTCTCCTGGAATCAGATTCCCCAAGAGCCAGAAATGCAACCCCACCAAGTCTCCTCTTGTTAAGCATCAGGAATCTGACAAGATGAAAAAGCCCCATGCGTCCAGCGAGTGCGGGAAAGCCTTCAACACAAAGTCTTTGCTCTCTGACCATCAGCTCCTGCATGCAGGACAGAAGCCCTATCAATGCAGTCTGTGCGGGGAAGCCTTCTTTAAAAAGTCAAATCTCAGTGACCACCACCACTCAACACATAAAGGACAAAAGCCTTATAAATGCGTGGAGTGTGGCAAAGCCTTTCTCCAGATAAAGCAGCTCAACGACCATCGGAAGACACATTTGGTAGAGAAACCGCACACGTGCGCTGAGTGTGGAAAGGGCTTTATCAAGAGGACAAGACTTAGAATTCATCAGTCAGTTCACACTGGAGAGAAACCCTACTTGTGTGGGGAGTGTGGGAAAGGATTCGTTATGCAAACCGATCTCACCATGCACCAGCGAATCCACACAGGTGAGAAGCCCTACGTTTGTGGTGAGTGCGGCAAAGGCTTCACATACAAGAGAGGTCTCATTACCCACCAGCGGACGCACAGCGGTGAGAAGCCCTACTTGTGCAATGAGTGCGGCAAACGTTTGAAGCATAAGAAGAGTCTCATCATTCATCAGAGAACTCACACAGGAGAGAAGCCATATGTGTGCACGGATTGCGGCCGGGGCTTCCGCCAGAAGCCAGGGCTCACCGTCCACCTGCAGACGCACACAGGAGAGAAGCCATACATGTGCGGGGACTGTGGCAAGGGCTTTAGACAGAAGTCGTGCCTCATCACCCATCAGACATTCCACACGGGCAAGTTCCCCTTCTCCTGCAGCGACTGCGGCAAGTGCTTCTCCCATAAATGGAACTTTAATACACATCGCAAGATCCACACAGGTGAGAAGCCCTTCAATTGCAGCGAGTGCCAGAAGGCCTTTCGGACCAAGAGAGCTGTCACTGTGCATCAGAGATCGCACACAGGGGAGACGCCCTACCTCTGCCTCGAGTGTGGGAAGACTTTCTCCTACAACTCCAGCCTTTACATACACAAGATAAAACACAAAAAGAAGAAGTGTTTGGAGGGGCTCAAGGTTGGAGACCCTGCCCCGGCGAGTCACGCCTTGTCTCTTAGCAGTGAGCTCCAGATAAAGAGCCCTGTGAATGAAGGGAGGCCTCCTGGGGCAGCTGAAACATCAGGAAACAACGATGGACGCCCAGCTTAGAGGGATGTGGTTCTTGTGGACAGCCTGTTGCCAGAGGTGGACCACCAGGACATAACAGAGAATTTGCACAGCAGAGAATTACTGTGGATAGAGTGAATGGGCTTGAATCTCTAAATGTCGTCCCTGTGGTGGACGACCGTGTCCCTTCAGTGTCTAATTATATTTTATAACCTACAGGACTCATAGGCCAAACCCCAACACATTCATTGAGTCCAAGGGTTGGTTGAGCAACATTTCTACCTCACTGTGTGACTATAAACTATCCTGGGGGGATAAAAGTCATGAATGCAGAGAATGGATGTTCTATCTATATGGTCTTAGGTATCAAGGCACACTGTGCTGTTTTACCAAATCATTTGTTCTGTCATACCAACTGGATGAATGAAGCCAGAGTTGATCAATGCAGGGAAAATAAACACGATGAATTTTTAAAACAGGAAAGTTCACCGGTGTCTGGAATTTTGTTGCAAGTGTAAAACCACATACTCGTAGGTGGTCGGATAGTAGAGAGATGGTGTGAGAGGGGAGATACGGAATTAGCAGAATTGGGGCACATTTCTGTAAGTTCAGTTCCCCACGTGTGAAGGGTTAAGTGAAAACCATTTTGTCTTCAGTATAGACAAAGTATAGACTTTATATTATGCGGAGGAACTTAAAACAATGTTGTTATTGTTGAGTACAACTCACAGCAACCATATGAACAACTTATCTGAACCCTGTTCTTGTACCATCCTCATCCGCTGTGAGACATTTGAGCCATTGCTGGAGTCACTGCATCAGTCCATCTCGTTGAGTTTATTCTGCTCTTTTCTGGATCCTCCACATTTCCAAGCATGATGTCCCTTTCCAAAGAATAACCTCCTCTAACAACATGCCAAAAGAGTGTGAGAAGAGGCAAGGAACTGCAGCTACAATCCCAGAGGTGCACGGTTCGAACCCACCAGATGCTCTGCCGGGGAAGGAGGGACATTCTCCTCCTGTACCAGTCAGATCTGATTTGACAGCACACACACACACACACACACACACACACACACACACACGAAAGACCATGGCCTGAGTCACGAGCACCTTAGTCTTCAACTAATATTACTGCTCCTCAGGATTTTGGAGAGGTCTTTTCCAATGCATCGTGTCTCCTGATCTCCCAGTCGCTGGTGCTGAAATTGTTGGTTATGGATCCAAGTAAGATGAAGTTGTTCACTACTTCAAGATGGAGAAATCGTTTCTCTGTCTCCCATGATGATGCTTATTAGTCCAGTGTCTTGATTTTGCGATGAAATCCATGTTGATGGCTGTAGTTGATTTCATGCAGCGAGTCTTTTAATTCCTCCACACTTTCAGCAAGCAAGGCAGTGTAATGTCCTTAAGGTAGGTTATTGATGAGTTTTCCTCCGATCCTGATGCCATGCTCCTTTACAGAGAGTCTAGCTTCTTGGATGCTTTGCTCAGCATATAACATAGGAGTGGAGAAAGAAATACAATGCTAACATAAACCTGTCCTGATTTTAAACCGTTTAATCTTCCTTTTCTCTGTTCAGGCAAATTCTTGGTCTAGATACAGGTTTTATATGAGCACAAGTATGTGTGTAGGATTCCCATTCATCTTAATGTAACCATTTTTTTTTATAATTCATAGAGTCAAAACAATAGTATTCCGGGAGCTCTGGTGGCCTAGTGGCAAGAAGCTGCAACTACAATCCCAGAGGCACACAGTTCAAATCCACCAGATGCTCTGCCGGGGAAGGAGGGACAATCTCCTCCTGTACCAGTCAGATCTGATTTGACGGTACACACATGCAAAAATTAAAAAAAATAGTATTCCATCAAGTGTAATTAATTTGAATGTCCCATCTTTCCTTTGAATCTGTCCCTATTTCTAACAGTGAATAAACCAGACACTTGGAGAAAACGTGAACCTGGATCACATTTCACTTGAATCTTGACACACCACCCAATGTTATCAATGTCTTAGGATAAAATGCTGTTGGTCTGTGCCAGTGGGTTGACCACAACTCAGTGACCCTGTGAACAATAGTTTGAAACCTTCCTTATCTTATCTTCTCTTCCATGCTTTAAATCCATTGCTGCTGTAGCTGGGTCGGTCCCAGAAATAGGCGAAATGTTGTTACATCCCATCGAGTCAACCCCATGAGTAGCAGTCCTGGACTTTGTCCTTCCTGCAGCATCCTCCCAATCTCAGTCATGTCCATCAAGCCCAGTGTAGTCACTGGGCCAATTCTTGTCTTTGAGGGTCTTCTCTATCTCAGACTCTCCACCTTTCCCAGCATAATGTCTTTTTCCAAGGCCTGACAACTCCTCACAGCACGCCCAAAGTATGTGAGCCTAAGTTTCCCCATCATTGCTTCTAAGGAACACCTTGGTTACACCATTTCCAAGATTTGTCTCTTCTTCATTTAGCAGTCTGTGGTATATTCTTAGTCTTCTGGGTGGCAGTGATGGCATGGACTGTGGTCATGAGTCCCTCTACAATGCCAAAGTTGTCATGGATGACCTTGGCCAGGGGAGCCAAGCAGTTGGTGGTGCAGGAGGCATTGCTGACAATCTTGAGAGTTGTCATACTTTTCATGGTTCACGCCCATCACAAATATGAGGGCCTTGGCAGAAGGAGCAGAGATGATTACCCTTTTGGCACCACCCTTCAAGTGAGCCCCAGCCTTCTCCAAGGTTGTGAAGACACCAGTGGACTCCACAGCATACTCAGCACCAGCATCACCTCGCTTGATGTTGGCGGGATCTCGCTCCTGGAAGATAGTGATGGCTTTCTTTCCCATTGATGACCAGCTTCCCATTCTCAGCCTTGACAGTGCCTTTGAACTTGCCATGGGTAGAACCATATTGGAACATACAGACCATGTAGTTAAGGCCAATGAAGGGGTCATTGATGGTGATAACATCCACTTTGCTAGCGTTAAAAGCAGCCCTGGTGACCAGGCATCCAATGTGGCCAAATCCGTTTGCTTCGACCTTCACCATCATGTCTCAGGGATGCGGCTGAGGGTGCACAAGAAAAAGGCATTCTGGATCGACAAGGAGCAGAGAACCTTAATAAGGCTCTTATAGCCAAAACGTTTGTAAATTCCACCAAAGGAGCTATGGTAGCCTAGTGGGGAAAAGCTGCGTTGCAATCCCCAAGGCCTGTTTGAGGCCTCCAATTGCTCTGTAGGAGAAGCACGGGAAAGCTCTCCTGCGATTAATTGCCTGTGAAAACCCAGTTGGCTATGAGTTAGGTTTAACTCGACAGTAAACAACAACAGCAAACCAAGTGATCTTGTTCTTATTCTGTCCTGTACTCTTCTCACTCACACTTCTGTCTCTCGAGAGCCCATTGTGGGAGTCACTGTGTCAGTCTACCTGGCTGAGAGTCTACCTGTCCTTCGCCAACCCCCCCACATTCCCAAGCATGATGTCCCTCTTCAAGACATAACCTCTGTTAGCAACCTGTCCAAAGTTTTGGAGACGAAGCCTCATCATCTTTGCCTCCGAGGATCACTCTGGCTGCACCCTCTTGAAGACATATTTGTTCTCTTAGCAGTCCATGGGATGCTCAGCGCTCTTCTCCAACACCACAGATCATAGGCATCAATTCTTCTGTCATCCTTAGTCATTGTCCAGCTCTCAGATGCATAGCAAGTGATAGGAAAGCCCATGGCCTGAATCAGGTGCACCTTTGTACTCAAACTGATAACACTCCTCCTCCTCAGTCATGTAGAGAGGTCCCTGACTGAAACTTGGTAAAGAATTGCACTGCCAACACAAAGGAATGTGGCTCAAAGCCACCATCTACTCTGTAGGAGAAAAGTGGGCAATTTCCATGGAATTTACTGCCTCTGAACACCCACTGGTGGGTCATCTACACATTGGTTTCAACTCAACATTACACAACAACAAAGCTCACATGACAAAAAATTCCCAGGGAATATTTCATGTTGTAAACTGTTCTCCAATGGTTTGTTCAATTCCATGACAAAATAGTATTTCATTCACTCCTTAGGTATTTTGATGAGTTCATTCACTTTGTTGACAAAAGTCATATACGATTCATTCATTAGCTCAGTTATTCACTTTACAAATCATTTCGGGATTAGCTGTACTTTGGTTCTGGGAACATACATTAAATAAATCAGTGCTCCCTTGTATAAATTTATGGAATGAGGGAAATGATTCTGATTTCTCAGCATACACACTCCAGCTAAAAAGAATGCTAAAAACTTTCCCCTCACTGTACTGTCCACTGTGCTAAGCACTAGTCACAAATACATGGCACATAGCTAATAACTAAGGGTTATTTTCTTTTTCGAAATTTAAATAGCTACTCGTTATAGCTACCATCTAGCCGGAGAGAGAAGGTGTGAGCATTGGAGAAGAACTGCTCCTCGGCTGCCTACATGGAGATTTTGTGGCCTCATCTGTATGGGTTTGAGCAGCTAACCCAAATTCTGTGCTTCCCCAGCAGTTCCAATTGGCTAGCAGCCCCCACACAGAAAGATGGGCCATTTCCTCTCCTGCAATTCATGGCTTTGGAACCTAAACGGAAGGACTTTGAGTTTTCAAGGATGCTTCACTGGCCAATAAAACCCCCAACTCATTCCTTCCAGGAGGCTGGGAATGAACTAAAAAGCTGACCCTCTGTTGGGTTTTGGAGGTTGTAAATCGCACAGAAGGAGACTGCCTATGAATCTCCCTCGGTCCATGAAAACGAGTCCTAGTGTTAAGAGGTAAGTACAAATGTGGGTCGTGTAAATGGTAGCTACTAACTCAAAGGTTAGATATTTGAGTCCACCCTAAGACATCTCAGAATAAAAGGTGAGAAGACTACTTAGGAAAAGTCAGACATGGGAACCCATGAGGAAGTGTGAACCTACAACCCGCACACACGAGAGGTCACAACTAGATTTTGACATACATCTTTGCCATTTTCTCCCTTCCAAGTACTAACCAGGCCCGACCCTGCTTAGCTTCTGAAATCAGACGAGATC